CGAATCTGACTTTCAACTGCCAACTTATTTAAGTTAACTCAAATTCATTTTATCTGCTGCCTGTGCTCAATTAAAAATCTATAAAATAGCAAACGTTGTAATTGAATAAATGGAAGAAAGCACATCAATTTTCAACATCGACAAAGCTCATCCCACACCTGCCCAATATCATCCGGTCGCAGTGCCTGCCAGAATGTTCAGCACAACGGCAGAGAGAGATGGATAAAATGCACCTTTGCTCCTGCTCAGGGGTTGAAACAGTTGACGTTTTTTACTACACTCGCTTCGTTGTCGTGCGCGACAGTCTGTTTGTATTTGAACACTCATGCTCTACCGTCGTCTCTCTCACACAACACGAGCGGTAGAATAACATTCGAGCTAAAAGAAAATTATCAAAATAGCTATCATATAACATGTGTGATTTCGTTGTAATTCCTCAATTTGGTGTAAATCAAACCATTTCTGATCAGAAATATTATTACTAGGACATCATTGCTTGCTATTTTCAGAATTCACACAAGCACACCATCAGCAGCTCTTATTATGAGAAAAACTAAAATACATACATTCGTGACGGTCTTCGGCGACAGTGTCGTATGACAGAGCCTGTCATACGACATTTTAGTTTGGTACTGTACTATGATAGCTTGCTTTGCAAGTGTCGGAGGTAAAGGCAGTCAATTATCACAGAAAATGTGTCGACTACCGTGACCGCTTACAAGACTGCTCCTGCTTGCTGCTTGCCACGCCATCCGAAGCGGAAATGAGCAGAGCCACATCAGCAGCGCTGTTATATAACTTTTCAGGTTCAAGCAGAACGATGTGCAACCAAGTGGGTACTCGATTATGGCGACTGGTTTTGGGGAAAACGATTATTTCATGAAAACAGTGATAAAATTAACATTTGTATATTTTTCAATAGTTTTTGAAGAGATTTTTTTTTTATTTATTTCAGCTGATTCTTAGAGTTATTTCCTATCGATTGGCGTATTTGGATTTTAAGTTCATCTATAAATGACAAAGTTACAAGCTTTCAAAACCTAACACTATTTCGCCACACATTTTTTTTTATTTGCACCCCAGTATAGTCCACAAGTCTACGTCAAAAAAGGCTGTAGAAGGTAAACGATTATATGCGAATACTTCTAGGAACCTGAGAACATGATGGATTTATTTATTATTAATTTTTTTTTTTAAATGCTGAATTCTACTCAAAGAAATCTAGATCAAAAGAAACTTATGCAAAATTGCTGGTTAATCTGAAAATTTCGATAATAGCGCAAAAATCACGGAGAGTAAAGTGGGGCAAGAAAACGCAAGCGGAAAAAGGTTTGAAATGCAGTTAAACAAAATGATGGACTAATGATTATGAGTGGGATTCAAACCTCTGCTGAATACAAGCTTACTAGAAAAATATTGTTTATTTTTAATAATCCATCTAAAAGTTATCACGAGAAGTATGGACATTTTCCGATTTTTGCATTTTGATATAAAATTTAAAAAAAATTGAAGTGCTATTATGATATCATGGATGACGATTATAACCTAAGTATTTCAGTATTATGATTGGTCTATATGATAAGAATTTTATGGTAGGTATTAGCAGACGCTATTGGAAAAACGTAATTTATGGGAGTCCTTTTTCATTATTGATTTCGAGTGGGGCAAGAGCACGAATGGCTTCGAATGGTAGTCAAATTAGGTCGCTTTTGAAAAATGCTGATAGAACCTGTTTTCAATCTTTTATACTTATAAAATATTGAAAACAGGTTCTATTAGCATTTCTCAAAATCGACCCAATTTGCTATAATGCAATAATATTACCAAATATGTTAATTACATCAGAGTTGTACGATTGTTAATTTCCACAGCTAAAAAACTTCCAACTTTCAACACTTGAAAAAATACAGATGAGTGTACACTGGAGTCGCTTTTTACGCGGGTGATACGTCCCGCGTAAAAAAAAACCGCGTAAAAAAAAACCGCGTAAATTCCGGAATCCGCGTAAAAAAAAACCGCGTAAATTCCGAAATCCGCGTAAAAAAAAACCGAGTAAAAAAAGACCGTGTAAGAAAAAAACGCGTAAAAAGCGATATACCGCGTAAATTCTGAAATCTGCGTAAAAAAAAACCAAAATCCGCGTAAAAAAAAACCGCGTAAATTCCGGAATCCGCGTAAAAAAAAACCGCGTAAATTCCGAAATCCGCGTAAAAAAAAACCGCGTAAAAAAAAACCGTGTAAAAAAAAACCGCGTAAAAAGCGACTCCAGTGTATACAAATACTATGTGATGAAAAACTAAGGTCAAATTTTTGATTTGTTTTTGACTTAAAAAACAATAATTAAATTAAAATAAACGTTTCTGAAATATTTTATAAAATGCACACTCTTGCCCACCTGTGGGGCAAAAGTACGCACTCGGAACAGTTTTACTTAATCAACATTTTAAGAAAAATATAATAATTTTTCAAATAGCTACCCATGAGAAATTGTTGCCAAATAGTAATGGAATCGACTCACGCTTATAAACTAAAATTTTAGGTTACGGTAAAAAAGATACCTGAATTTTAAAAAGAAGTACGTACTCTTGCCCCACTTTACTCTACTGTAGTCCTCCGAAAAGCGCGAGTGGTAAAAAGTTCAACCCACCGCTATTATTCGGCTGTGTTCTAATCAATGGATCAAAGTTTTTGCAGTTCATTAGTTCAGGGTTGATTCTAATCACATACAACAAATCAGCACGATTGTGGGTAGAGCTTATCAAAAGCCACATGTAAAAAGGACTTACAAGCTTTTTGTAAACAAACCTTTGTAGGCCCTCTTCTCGCCAACCGAGGGTCGCCCTCGCAAACTAACAAAATCATCGGGAAGGGGAGACCTTCCCCTATCCGGCGATGTTGATGGTTTGCGTTGGTGTCATATGGGTGGCGAGAAAAGGGCATAAGAATGTTTGTTTACAAAAAGCTTGTATGCCCTTTTCACATGTTGTTCTTGTTATCACCTACCGCGCACTTCAGAGGACTACTGCATTATCAAAAACGGAAAGGCACTATTAACTCCGAAACGACGAATCAAGCACACCGATAATTAACGAGAAAACAAATTGTATTATTGATCTTGAATCGACCTTGGTTGTTAGGATAATGAAATTTTTTGTTGTAGTCTTACTCACGGCTTACTAGTTTCCAACACATATAATCAAGTTAAATAATGTCAAGTACGGTGATGCTATGGCCATCTCATCCGACGAGGCTGATAACCTTTTTTCATGCTTCAAAGCGTGTTTAATACAGGTTCGCCCCAACCCCATCCAGGTTGTTTTCAACACGTGTCATCTCATGATATCCGTCTTCCGTTCTTCAATTTCTCTCGTGATGATGTGTTGGAAGCACTTGCTAAACTAGATGGGTTGAAAGGAGCTGGAGTTGATGGATTAGCTCCTATTCTACTGAAGAATTGCGCTAAGTCTTTAGCCGCACCAATGAAGATACTGTTTAGATGAAAAAACATTCCCGAGTTTATGCAAAAATGATTCCTGTCTAGAAGTCAGGTAGATATCGATTCTCTGTTGCCTAGGAAAGCTCCTTCAATCTTTGACCAACGAGCTCTTACTGTCTGCTGCAACAACCAATGTATTATGCTATACTAACGTGTTGTTCCGAGAGATGGAAGGCCGGAATCAAGTAGACTCTGCATCGATTTTTCGAAATCGTTTGACACTGTTCCGCACATCTTTGCGGTGAAGAAGCGACGTATGGGTTTTCCTGATTAGATATCCGATTGGCTAATGTCATACTGGACCAGTAGGAAAGCAGTCGTTCAGGTGGACTCTGGACGTTCGAGGAAATTCGACATTCCATCTGGAGTTCCACAGAGAAGTGTGTTATGTCCATTGATCTTTGTCCTTGTGCTTACAAATATCATCTGGGAAATTGATTTTTGCCAACGACCTCAAAATCTTCCGAGTCATTAAGTATTGATTTGCAGGCAGACATCGATGTCCTTTCACGATAGTGCAAAGAAAACGGAATATGCGTGAACATTATTAAATGCAAAATGATCACTTTTAACCACCGCTACGATTTTTTTTTAATCGTTTAAAAAAAATTAATAAAACATGATCAGTACAATTTCAATTTCCGAACATACATACATTTCAATTTAATATAAACATCGAAAATAAAACGTTATCTTAATCAACGATCGCCCCTGTGTTATTTAATTCAGTTGAATTTCAAGGTTACCGCTTGAACAAGGTTATGAGCGTTTACTTGTGTACCGCCAGAGACATCCAAAGGAATGCATTAAAACAAACGCAATCAACGCACTTGAGTCGAACGCATGTGTCACTGTTTACAAACACCTCCCAGATAGAACCAAACAAAAAAGGAAGCATCACGAGCCGCTCTGCTGCCGATTCAAATGTTGCCGGCGTGCGCCTCTAGCCATACCGCTGCGCTAGTGTGCGTTATAAATAATACCGCCGACATCGACACCGACACGATAGACCGTAAATTGACGTTTGCAGTGTGATGTTGGAGGTTTTTCTCCTTGGCTCTCCATTCATTTGGCAAATGATGTATGGAAAATCAGAACCGATTTTTCTGGCCAAAATTCACACCCACAAGCCCAGTGCAGGCGCCGTTTCCAAACGAAATGGAAAATCGAGCTGCCCCCACTGTCACAGAAGCATATTTCCCACTCAATGTCTTACGATACTACAACACAGAGTTCTAAATTTAACCCACTCGAGAGTGTCGAAACACCAGAGAGGAGTGCTAAGGTAAATATCCCTCTCCAACAGTCCGAGGCGAAGTTTTTTTTTTCATCGTAGGTATGCCTCTATCAAATAAAATGCTATTGGATGTAGAAGAAGAATGGGGCAAAAAAGACGTAGACTGAAAATGCACACGCACTCACAAACGTCGTCATCACTGTAGCAGAGCAGCAGCAGACATGGACGACGATCAGTTCGATGGAAGCAGCGAAAAAAAAAACCTACCTTTTCAAAGTCCTTTTGCAGCTGCTCGTCTTGTTTGTTCCTTCGGTTGATGCACTTTCGGTGTTCGCACGGCATCATGTCGTTCTAGGGTGCATCAGTTTTCTCCATTTTCCACAAGAATCCACAAGGAAAAACTCACTCCACCACCGTATAATTGTAGAGGACCGAACAGGCAATTCTGGTAACAAAACACACTTGGAACACTGCCGTTCTTGGCCCACTTCCGGTGGTATCTTCTTCAGTTTCACTCTCGGTTTTCCACGGTTCACTATCGATCTAGTAGTACCACTACTACACACCTCTGCATGAGGGCACTTGGTGATAAGAGGAGACGGCAGCAGATTCACAAAACCATTCACTAGAAAATCACACAACACTGTCACTATCACCGGACAACCTAGAGGGAAAATTGATTTTTCAGAGAAATCCTGCATCGTCGAAGTTCAAATTTATACTGTTCGCCATTCCACAACTGCAAGTTAATTTCTTTCATTTTTTGCCTCTGTGGTGGTGTGCCACGGCGCTGGTAGTGGTGAACTGTCAAACGAGGCGGCTGACAGCGCAGCGGCTCGTATGTGGGTTTGTTTACACAGTTCAACGCCGATTTTTCCGGGTTTAAATGATGACTATACCTGAACTAATAATTTTAGCGATTATGCCTAATAACATTGCATCATATTATATGTTTAAAACTATGATCAACGTAAAACTTCAAGCAAAAACAGGATGAAATTAGTGGAGCGTTTTCAAAACAGCTGATCGCTAATTTGAGCCGCAATGACAGATCGAGCTTTGACAACCAGTTGTCACTGTCAGTTTTGACAGCTCTCAACGATTGAATGTGGGCAGGGTGGCCAGACCTACCGATTTATCGGTAGTCCTACCGATTTTCGGGGTGCCTACCGATTCACAGACGAAAGGTTCAAAACTACCGATTTTTCACTTTTCCTACCGAGAATCACAGATTTTTAGATTATAAATAGAAAAATTGATTTCGACACGTTTAAAGTAGAAGATCTGAAGGACAGTGTATTGTTCTGGAGCACCAAGTCATCTCCCCCCCCCCCCCCCCCGCTCACAAAAGTTTCAAGTATCGGAAAAGCCTACTTAAGTCGACCTACCGATAACTACCGATAAAAGTTTTGAGAAGCTACCGATAATGAAAAAAATAATCTGGCCACTCTGAATGTGGGGGACCGAGTGGTTAATGTTCACCATAATTAACCCTTAGTATCCGGAGTGTTATAAATATTTAAGCAAATATGATCCACTATTGCGCGTAGCTGGCGAACAGAATTTTTTGTATTTACGGTCGTTCATTTTAATTGGATGATTGTAACTTGACTTTTTTCAACACTAGATGATGCGAGAAGCAATATTTTTCGTGTCGCCATTGCAATGTACCTAAAAGGCAAGAATAGATTATATTAAAAAGATTATATTGTTGATTGATATAATATATTTGATTTAAGGTTCAAGATACCTAACGTTTTCTCGTGAATAATCACTTGTTTCTGCCAGGGTGCAGCCCTACACAGTTCGAAAAGTAGTGTAAATTTCTGTTTAATATGGTGCACATAAATGGAGCGTCATATATCATATAAGTTTACATTATATATCATGTAAAGTTCTGGCACATTTCATGAAATGTAGCAAATATTGTGTTTAAAGCCCATCTTTGTAAACAACATTGTTTACAAGCTGCTCGGTTGTGTGAAATTAAATTTAAGTTTACGTGAATGAATGTTTACATCACAATTAAAATTCAGAATTTTTATCTGTGTACGTTGTAATTCGTTTACGGAGGAGATCGGAAAACTCGATTGTTGGACGTTCCGGAGCATTGAATAAAAATACCATTATTTCCTAAATGGTAAGTAAGTTAAGTATTTATTACCTGCTCGGAGGATGTACGCATCTTTTAAAATAACAATAATTTGAGCATTTGCAGCAAATTTCAGCTTTTTTGGTGAGAATTCATACTGCGCTGTGGTTTATATGGAAATTACTATAGGAAAAGCGAACTTTTTATTCTCAACATCCTAGCACATAATAATTTACGGATAAGCTTGCTATCTACCCTTATGTGCAATTTTATCAGCAACAACTTTTCTAAAGACCACTTTTTGATTCGATGTCGATAACTTTCTGTTATGAACAATCAACTGCATTCAGGGCAACACTGTATCATGCACATAGTATGTGCCCTGCAAAAGCAACTCCATTTTCCGCTGCAGATCTACAACCATAGCCTCCAACGCTTTTTCTCGTTCGCTAACTTTTCCTTCTGCGTCATTACTCTGTAACTGTGTCTTCGGTATCGCTCCTTTCTCTGTCTGGGAACCATTTGTGGTAGTTTCATCTTGATCCTCATGTCCTGGATTCTGCTCTAACCTGATATCGAAGCTACTCAACTCCTCACGAATCTCATCTGTTAATTCTTTCCACATTCGCTCTGACTCCACTCTTGCGTAGCAATTGGGTTCTTTAATTTTGAAAAATGTATCGTTTTTTATACATCATCTGAAAGAGCTTCGTTGTCGGAGCATAGCGATTTTTTTTTCGAACCCACACACTTTTATCTCGATTTTTAAATCAAGATTTAAAGCAAAATAATAACTTCACTGTTTGACACTAAACTAACAAACTGACAGCTCGCTCCCATACAAAGTGACACCGAGGGGCGCTAATAAGGTTATTTTTGCAAATGTAATCGTACTTATTTAAAATAGTTCCAGTGTACCAAAATTGATGAAATTTTGGTTTTGGGTTCCATTTTTAATGCAGATTACGAATATGCATTTACCTCAATACCATTAAAGAACCCAATTCGTCGAACTTTCCACCAATAGTGCTTCAATCGAGAAATAGCCTTGTCGTCTTTACCTTTGGCCAACTTTCTTCGCAAACCTCCGATCTTAGAGCAAATATGATCATACTCTTCGTGTATGGATATTTATAATCTTTCCCGTCTTTCGCATCACTCAAGAAAAAAATCCTCAACAAACGATATTTTGCCTGAAAATCATCATATGTCTCCTCTATTTTCCCTCGTATCCTGAGCTCGTAATCTACCTCTTCCGGTGTTAAATGATCCGCATGTGGAAATTTGCAAGCCATTGCAAGGAAATTTAGAATTTTAATCGAATAAATTATAAAGTAATAAAGAAAAATAAATAATAAAGAAAAAACTAAATAATGTAATGCAAGTTATACTAAAGCTTACTTTAGTATTTTTCGACGAAATTATCCAACACTAACAATGTCACCAAAGCTCAATAACTTTCCATAAACACATCACATCAAAATTACTGCAACATAATTATGAAATTTCTATACATATCTAAAATTACTCATAATTCAAAAACTAAATTCCGACAACCTGCAGTTGGGTGCCAATTTGAGCTAGCCCGGACGATCCCGCTTAAATACGCATGGCTTAAGCGCCACTCCACCAGGGAGACCACACGTCCAAGTTTAATTTGCTCGGATGAGACTCTCCTAAGGGCGAGTCCATTAATTCCTAGAAAGGATTTACGGATCGTTCCAGACAGCTTCCAACTGAACGACCAAACGGGAATTCCTTATTATCCTCATGAATTCACACTCAAGAAAGTCACTCAGAGAAACGGTAGAGCTCACGCATACCCTAAAACTCTACGAGAGAGAACTTCTCATCATCGGCCAGTCCCTTCACCTGCCGCTAGACGTCTCCCTAATCTAGTAGTGGAATGTACTTCCCACCATTCAAACTCAACAAGAGGACGGGCAACGAAAACTAACACGAACGCGGAGTGATGTCAAACACATTCAAATAATTCGACAGTGAGCATTCATAAGGGCGTATACGCGATGATCGATTCTCTTAATCGATTTTCTCTTTTGTTAATAACTCGCTAGATTTAACGTTTGTCGGTGCGTTTGCTGTTGCTTTTGATAGCCAATGCAACCTGTTACAACTCTACATTGAATAAATTCTACAAAATTGTTTCGCTTAGCTGTAGCAATGCAAAGAGAAAATCGATTAAGAGAATCGATCATCGAGTATAGGCCCTTATGCATGCTCACTGTCGAATTAAAGCTAGAGAGATTTGGAACAGGGAAACAACATTTCGACAGTGAGCATGCATAAGGGCCAATACGCCATGATCGATTCTCTTTATCAATTTTCTCTTTGCATTGCTACAGCTAAGCGAAACAATTTTCTAGAATTTGTTCAATGCAGAGTAGTAACAGGTTGTATTGGCTATCAAAAGCAACAGCAAACGCTCCGAGAAACGTTAAATCTAGCGAGTTATTAACAAAAGAGAAAATCGACGAAGAGAATCGATCATCGCGTATAGGCCCTTATGCATGCTCACTGTCGATTTATTTATAACATGAACGACGATATATTGAGTGCCTCTTACTGATTATTTACATTTGTACAAATTTCGTTTTATTTCTGTTTGTGTGTGTGTGTTCCTATTCGCTCTCCTACTGTGTGCGGTTTTTCTCTTTCCCTGAGCATACTCTCATTCTCGTTTCTGTCTCTCATGGACTCATGTGCTCGGTGTTATGTGTTGTTGGGTGTCGTCACAAATCGGTAGCTCAGCTCTACCAAGGCATGTGCTCCTGGTGACAATTGTTGGCAGCGTCGAATTACGCGCGCATGCTTTTAGCGGAATCGACGAGTCACGAGTTTCGGCAAGTCGTCACGAAACTCGACTCAAATTACATCAGCCTTAGGACTGGCAAATAACTACTCTGTGGCGCCCTCACCGGACGCCACACTCCACAAAAAAGGTAAAGGTTGGTTGACTCACCAGATGATGGCTTGTAGTATCTTACGTGGGTTTCTGTCAACGGTCAAGGTCGGGTTCGACGCACTCGGTGTCACGTTCAATGACCGCGTAGAAAGCGTCACCCCTTTGATGACGCACAGTGGGGCAGCGAAGCCATTCGCGTGGCCAAAACCTCTAGTGCCGTTGGTTTGCTTTCTACAGTGATACAATGTTCTACAAAGTTGCTCAATATTAAAAGCGCCATCTTTTGAAAGTTTCATATTAGTTCATTTTTACGCCGCATAGGTGGCGCTCGAGTCTATCTTTTGAACGGAGCATCCTAGCCGAATGGTTTTTCCTGCAAAGTTGTGTAATTTGAAGTGTTGAGAAATGTTGTTGAAGATATTGAAACTCTATGACTCACATTAAGCGAGAAATCCGGCAATTAGGAAACTAACCTCTAAAATTGAGTTTTTTCCCATTTTTTCACCTATATACGTCAAATGTATAAGTTTTATACTCTCCTAATTATCAAAATGGTTTGACTCATCCAATAAAAAACAATTATTTTATATATAATGCTTTATTATAAAGTTATAAACATAAATGTCTAAAAAAAGTGATGCATAAAAATGTCGATTACTCAAAATATAGCAAAAAGTAGCAGCCAATTTTTTTTACAGTGATTAGTGTAGACCTTTTTGCGTAAAATAA